GGATAAGTCCTTCGAGGAGGTGTGCTTGAAGTTCATGGTGCTGCCGGACAAAAGACCTATCATCAACTACGTGAAGAAGCGTCTCAGCCGACTGACCACTAGGCCCGTGGAAATAGAGGTGGTCGACGAGGAGGAAGCGAACAGCATCAAGGCTCTGGTCATCTGGCTCATTGACCTCTACCTCATCCAGATAAACATGCCCGACCAGGACGAAGAGTGGCGCAAGGCGTGGCAGACGGAGTACGACGAATTCATGATGGAGGCTCCTGTGCTGGCCTGTACGCGGCAAAATCGCGACTCCGTCCAGCAGCTGATCGCCGAGCATGCGGATCCCCATAACATGGCCCAGTTTGCCATCGCCATCGGCGACTATGATGAAGTGGTGGGGCAGCAGCTGAAAGCCTCGTGCTATGCCGAGGCATTGCAAACGTTGATCAATCAACGGAACCCAGAACTCTTCTACAAGTACGCGCCCGAACTGATGGTGAAACTGCCGAAACCCACGGTGGACGCCCTAATGAGCCAGGGCTCCCGACTGGATGTGAAGAAGTTGGTGCCCACGCTCATCCTCATGGAAAATCGCGAGCAGCGGGAGCAGACACAGCGATACCTCGAGTTCGCCATCTACAAGCTAAACAACACGGATGACACCATCCATAACTTCCTGCTGCACTTGTACGCAGAGCACGAGCCCAAGCTGCTGATGAAGTACCTCGAGATCCAGGGCCGCGACGAGACCCTCGTTCACTACGACATCTTTTACGCCCACCAGGTGTGCACCGATCTGGACGTGAAGGAGGCCCGCGTCTTCCTCGAATGCATGCTTCGCAAATGGCTATCCGCGGTGGAGCTGGCCCTCACGTTTGATATGAAGCTGGCCAAGGAGACCGCGTCGAGGCCGTCGGACAGCGAGTTGCGCCGCAAGCTCTGGCTTCGCATAGGTATCTTGATTTAGTGCAGCAGTGCCATATATTAGACAGCTAATGCTCCTCACTTATTTACAGCTTATCACGACATAAAGGGAACCAACGACGTTAAGAAGGCGCTTAATCTTCTCAAGGAGTGCGATCTTCTGCGCATCGAAGACCTGCTGCCCTTCTTTTCCGACTTTGAAAAGATTGACAACTTCAAGGAGCCGATCTGCGATGCTTTGCGGGTATGAGAAAATCTCCATTATTGTAGGTTACTTCGGTTCCAATCAGTTTCTTTGCTCGACAGGAGTACAATAAGCGTATCCAGGAGTTGCAGCGCGAAATGGCCGAAACCCAGGAGCAGTCCGACCGCATCACCGCCGAGTTGGAGGAAGTGCGGGAGTACAGCGTCACCATGACCGCAGAGGACACTTGCGGTGTCTGCGAGATGATGCTGCTGGTGAAGCCCTTCTTTTTCTTTATCTGTGGCCACAAGTTCCACAGCGACTGCCTGGAAAAGCAAGTGGTCCCCATGCTGAGCAAGGAGCAATTGCGGCGTCTTACCACCCTGAGGCAGCAATTGGAGGCTGAGGTGCAGCCGCCGGCGCAGGCGCAGTCGCTTATCTTGAGCAATGAGCAGGCGAAGGAGCTGCAGCGGAAGAGAGCGACACTGAAGACCGAGATCGAGGACATCCTGGCAGCGGACTGCCTTTTCTGCGGCCTGCTAATCGACACCATCGACCAGCCTTTTGTCGACGACTGGGAGCAGGTGAATGTTGAGTGGGAGTAGGAGTGTCCACCTTCGTTTGTTTCCAAATATTTATGTACATATAGAGTATTTATTAATAAACCTACACAAATCACAACGGTTTCGACTAAGATCGCAGCCCAAATCTCTCGTCACCCTCCCTGCGCGGCAGGTCAGTCGACAATCTGCATGCGCAGCTCGTTTGTAACAAAGGACATGACCGTGTTGAGCACAGCCTGCTGGATGGAGGCGTTCTGCATGATCAGCGGCAGGAGCAACACCACATCCGTGGGGTGAATATCGGCCACGGCCTTGGACACGTGCTGCACCAACTTCTCGCGCTGCCTGTCGGTCAGGTCGTTCAGGATGACTTCGCCCAGCGGCCGGAATGACCCTGTTGGCGGGCAATGTCATACATGGAAAGGCGTCTTTTTGATTGGAGTTCAATCAATACATACCGCTGGTCATCTTGTAGGCGGCTACACCGCCGGCGGCCCCGCCCACCGCCAGTCCCACTGGGCCCAGGAGCATGCCACCCGCGAAGGAGCAGGCGGCGCAGATGGCCGCTCCCTTGCCGGACTGCTTCACGGCGACGCGGACGTTGTGATCGTCCGCCACGATGGCTATCGCCTCCATCAGCTCACGCGTATCTATGGGCATCTTTTGGCTACGTGGTCTTGTCCCGAATTTCGTAATGCAGTACTCGTATTTCCCGTTTAGACTTTGTTCCCGTATTCTAGTGGGTTCTCTTCGATGGATGCGTCATCAATCCTATGCCGATCCTGATTTTTTCTTGTGGTACGTTTGTGTTGTGGACTTCAAAATTTTTAACTTGGCAACAATGATAAACAATGATTTATGTGAACAGAGCTAAAAACACACGACTCGACTTAAAAAACATCAGGTTCCAGATTAGAGCAGCGCAAAATTCGATTTTTGTAAAAGTATCGATAGCTTACATTAACCCTTAGTGCGCTTTAGGAATCAAAATCAATCAGTAATAAAAAAACAAACTCAAGCTATGGAATTTAGAAGTGCAGTTTTGGGGTCTCATACTGAAACCCAATGGAAATACGGAAAAAAGTAACATGAAAACAGGCTAAAATTTTGACCCTCTCTGAAACGGAATATTTTAATAGAGATCGTTGGAGAATTCAACCTCCAATCCATAAAGGCATCCCACTTCAAAATCGGGATCCAAAAACTAAACTTATGGAATCTGGAAGTGCAGTTTTGGGGTCTCGTACTGAAACCCATTGGAAATACGGAAAAAAGTAACATGAAAACAGGGTAAAATTTTGAACCCCCTATAAAAGAAATATTTAAATGTATATCGTTAGAGAATTCAACCACCAATCCATAAAGGCATCCCACTTCGAAATCGGGATCCAATAACTCAAGTTATGGAATCTGGAAGTGCAGTTTTGGGGTCTCGTACTGAAACCCATTGGAAATACGGAAAAAAGTAACATGAAAACAGGCTAAAATTTGGACCCTCTCTTAAACGGAATATTTTAATGTAGATCGTTAGAGAATTCCACCACCAACCCATAGAGGCATCCCACTTCAAAATCGGGATCCAATAACTTAAGTTATGGAATCTGGAAGTGCAGTTTTGGGGTTCCATACTGAAACCCATTGAAAATAGGGAAAAAATAACATGAAAACAGGCTAAAATTTGGACCCTCTCTTAAACGGAATATTTTAATGTAGATATTTAGAGAATTCAACCACCAATCTATAAAGGCATCCCACTTCGAAATCGGGATCCAATAACTCATGTTATGGAATTTAGAAGTGCAGTTTTGGGGTCTTATACTGAAACCCATTGGAATTACGAAAAAAAATAACATGAAAACAGGCTAAAATTTGGACCCTCTCTTAAAAGAAATATTTTAATGTAGGTCGTTAGAGAATTCCACCACCAACCCATAGAGGCATCCCACTTCAAAATCGGGATCCAATAACTTAAGTTATGGAATCTGGAAGTGCAGTTTTGGGGTTCCATACTGAAACCCATTGAAAATAGGGAAAAAATAACATGAAAACAGGCTAAAATTTGGACCCTCTCTTAAACGGAATATTTTAATGTAGATATTTAGAGAATTCAACCACCAATCTATAAAGGCATCCCACTTCGAAATCGGGATCCAATAACTCATGTTATGGAATTTAGAAGTGCAGTTTTGGGGTCTTATACTGAAACCCATTGGAATTACGAAAAAAAATAACATGAAAACAGGCTAAAATTTGGACCCTCTCTTAAAAGAAATATTTTAATGTAGGTCGTTAGAGAATTCCACCACCAACCCATAGAGGCATCCCACTTCAAAATCGGGATCCAATAACTTAAGTTATGGAATCTGGAAGTGCAGTTTTGGGGTTCCATACTGAAACCCATTGAAAATAGGGAAAAAATAACATGAAAACAGGCTAAAATTTGGACCCTCTCTTAAACGGAATATTTTAATGTAGATATTTAGAGAATTCAACCACCAATCTATAAAGGCATCCCACTTCGAAATTGGGATCCAATAACTCAAGTTATGGAACCTGGAAGTGCAGTTTTGGGGTCTCATACTGAAACCCATTGGAAATACGGAAAAAAGTAACATGAAAACAGGCTAAAATTTGGAACCTCTCTTAAACGAAATATTTTAATGTAGGTCGTTAGAGAATTCCACCACCAACCCATAGAGGCATCCCACTTCAAAATCGGGATCCAAAAACTAAAGTTATGGAATCTGGAAGTGCAGTTTTGGGGTCCCATACTGAAACCCATTGGAAATAGGAAAAAAATAACATGAAAACAGGCTAAAATTTGGACCCTCTCTTAAACGGAATTTTTAATGTAGATCGTTAGAGAATTCCACCACCAATCCATAAAGGCATCCCACTTCAAAGTCGGGATCCAATAACTCATGTTATGGAATTTAGAAGTGCAGTTTTGGGGTCTCATACTGAAATTCATTGGAATTACGGAAAAAAATAACATGAAAACAGGCTAAAATTTTGACCCTCTCCTAACCGGAATATTTTAATGTAGGTCGTTAGAGAATTCAACCACCAATCCATAAAGGCATCCCAACTCAAAATCGGGATCCAATAACTCAAGTTATGGAATTTAGAAGTGCAGTTTTGGGGTTCCATACTGAAATATGGAAAAAATCCAAATTGACCAATATGCTTATTTTTTAACTTAAAGCTTTACAAAAATATTGCCAGCACACGGAACAAATGCGAACCGTAAGGGTTAAATTGGCAAGCCATCGTGTACTATCGCCCAGCACTGCTAGTTCTATCGATGAATCGATAGCCCGCGGCGAACAGAGCGTTTAACAGTAAGTGCTCTGCTACGCTGCGCGTAACAGTTTGCTTTTGTTTTGTTCACGCTTCGCGAATTGAGTTGGATATTTTTGTTTTCCACACATTCTACGCGTAGGAGTGCGGTTTTTCATGTGAATTTGTGGCAGATCACTTGGCAGAGCAACCAAGTCCGTGAAACCGCCGGAAAAGAGCTCCCTTGCGCTGGGACTGGGATGTGCGCAAATCATTTAAATTGTTGACACTTCCGTGTGATTATGATTCCTCATATGTCGAATTCCACTTGGTTCCCACGCCGCCCCATCAAGGAGTAAACTCATCCAGGATAAACTGGTTGAAGGCCAAGCGGAATCCAATTTTTAGAGGCGATATGTTGGCTTACTCCCACGTAAGTCCAATGCGCATGCAGTTCAACGAGTCTGTGTGGGTGTGGGTATATGGTATAGGGGCTATATGCTGATATTGTATCTCAAAAATTCTGTAAATTACTGATTCGCGCATATCTCTTGGTTCTGTGGGTGGGGTATTTACACTCGGAACTCTTTAAACAGGTACGAATGGTATGATGCTATAAGTAGGCCCTATACCGTATTACTAGTTTGGTAAAGTATATTTTGGGTATTAATACAGTATATTCCTATAGTAAGGCCTAGATTTTATTCCCGAACCAGTTAAATTATATTATTGGGCAGTTGTGTACACCAAAGTACCCACCATAGTATGTAAATATGATATAGAACTAAGACCTATTCCGTAACCACTTAAAATAAATTACTGGGATATAGTATGCACCTATGTATGCATTGTACTATTTTATTAAGATATAGATAAAGCACGTTCCTTTAGAAGTAACAGCAATTTACTATTTTATTATATGTATACTTTCAAAAACGATAGCCAGTTAAAATATATTGTTGGCTATGTTGTTTCCAACAAGGCCCATGTTTCAGAAATAGCTCCTCCATTCCGCCAAAACTGTCAATTTACCACCAACCGACCATCTAACCCGCCCACAATTGCTTCCCAACACAATTAATCTTTTTATTGGCCTTTTATCACATACGGATTCGATTCGATTCGTTAATTAATTGCCGAATTAGCGTGGCGGTGTCATTAGCAGTAAAGCCGCAAGACGCTAAATCGACTGGGTAAACAATTGGGAACCAGTTGGATACCCTTCTCCGGATCCTCCTCCCCCGGAATTTTGACCTTCCAACTGGTGCGTACAGGGTGCGCCTCCATTACCCTAATTACGGCCACCGGAGGACCGGACGAGCCAAGCCCTCGTCGGGCTAATTCGATTCGCAAACAAACGCGTCTGCTTGGGCAAATATTTGCATATGTACGTCGAACGTGCGACTCGGTACTTTTCCCCCCATATTCCCCCTTTATCCAGTTCACCATTCACATTCACTAATGTGCCATTTGATTGTCGTTTTAGGGCTTATGGCTCCTTCTGCTGCTCCTTGTGACAGGCGCATGCGCGCGGCCAGAAAACAGTCAGGACTCCTCCCCACATCAGCATCCCCATGCCACGCTGGAGGAAGGTGAGCAAGGGACAGCCATACCGGCTCCTATATCCACGGCTGATAATGTGGCCATAAGTGAAGCCACTACGACATCAACTCCGCCGGAAACGGTGGCCCAAAGTGTGTCTAATTCGGAATCTGTGACAGAAACGACAACCACAACAACAGCATCGGCATCATCTTCGTCCACGTCCTCTTCCACCTCGACCACTTCGGCCGCCCCTCCTCCACCGGCTGCTCCTGAAGTACCGGAGTACTTCAAGCACTGTTTCTATGCCGAGGAGCAGCTGTGTGGTGGGCCCACCTTTGACGGACGAACCGACGCCATCGAGGGCCAGTCCTCGACCACTCCCCAATCGGACTCCCAGAACAGAGGAGCACTGGGAAACAGCCAATGCCAGTGCAAGGAGCATCCGGCGAAGCCCAACTCCTGGTACTGCTGCAACATATCGCAGCTGACGATGATCTCGAGCTGCAGCAACATATCCAAATGGATCAACCTGCACGTGCGCAACATGACCATGGAGGACATGGATCTGTCCAATCCCATTTTCCGATCACTGCAGTCGCTTGCCGTGACCGATGGCAACATCACGCGACTGGTGAACGCTTTTCCACGGCTCTCGGCTCTCAAATGCCTGAATATATCGAACAACAACATCTCGGAGATCCAGCCGCGGGCGGTAAAGGATGTGCCGCACCTGGAGTTTTTTGGCATGTCGAACAACAATCTGTCGCTGGTGCCGCATCGGAATCAGAACAAGAACATAACTCTGGATATCAGGTGAGGCACCTACACACACCTTGATGAATATTCAGCAAATTAAAAACCCTAACTCAACGACTCCTCTTTCAGTGGCAACATGCGCATGTTGTGCAACCCGCTCAACGAGATCATCTACAACGAATCCATAAACTTTGTAAATCCCAAGCACTCCTACTGCCAGTACAACGTCACCAGCACCTGGTTTCAGTCTACAGACAAGGTGTCCGTCGAGCAGTTGGAGAACAGAAAGCGTTGCATGACAAACTGCCCGGTGATCCCGAACTACGGTAGCTGCAATTGCACACTGCAGAACATCATGATCATTCAGGACAACCAGTCGAAGCCCCAGTGCCATGTCGACTGCTCCAATCTTGGCCTGGTTGAGCTACCGCAACGACTGCCGGACAACACATTTATGCTCAATATCACAAACAACAAGATAACCAGCCTGGGCGATTACTTCCAGACGAATCCCACCTACCACAACATCAACCGCCTTGTGGCCGACAACAACCAGATATCCTCCATCTACGAGTTCGAGGGTACCAAGTTCATCGAAACCTTTCAGCGCATCTACATGCGGAATAATTCATTGAGCAAGGTAAGTAAGCAGAGATCTTTTTTCCAAGTGGATCCGGATTAAGAGTACCTACCAAAAATGTAGATTCCCGAGTATTTCCTAAATAATGCCCTAATGGACTCGGGCCTGGGTCGTCGTATCTACCTGGCTGGCAATAAGCTCCAGTGCGACTGCAACTCGGCCAAGACGTTGCAGAACTGGCTGAAGGAGCGCAGCTCCGACATACCCGACTACATGGAGATTCGTTGTCGCAACCTGCCCCAGAGTGTAATCGAGCTGCAGGAGGCCAAGCTGTGCCAATCCCCTCCCGACTGGACCGACTACATATACTATTTAATAGCCGCCGAGGTCATCCTGTTGCTGGCGCTTATTGCCAAGGTGTCCTACGATTATTGGGTCTTCAAGACTGCTGGCTATCTGCCATGGCCAGCTAGCAAAATGCCCAAGTTGCCCTGCGATTGGCTGTGTGAATCGTAGAGTTGTTTCCTCACCGGGGGTTCCTAGGTCATATAGAGCAACCGACAGACAGACAGAAAACTTTGACCGTGACATGATTCACATGACAGAACGTGTTTCCATACGTGTTCCATCTTATTCTATATATCCGACTGCGGAACTATGTGCCTTTTATATACATATGTGAACGATTTTTGTTGTTATTAGCCCTAAGAACTGTATGCATGTACTTGTCGTAATGTAGTGGGTGCATCTGAATATATACATATTTACAGAGTAAAGTTGATCAGATCAGAGTAAGCATATCTCGATATCAGTTTAGTCAGCAGAGAACAACGACGAATAAATCAATAGACAAAGTCATGTTCAGAGTCCATTTTACGAATGATATTTATTGTTGTGGTTTGTTGTGATTTAAATAGAATAATTATTATTAAGAAAAAAATACGCACTTCTTAACTCTTTCGATGCAGCTTAAATCTGAATTGAGTTCTGCACCTGCAGGATTTCTGGTTTTAGACCGTCTCCGCCTACTTGGCGATACTAAATACCTTTTAGGATAAGGTGTAGGTGAATGGGACGAGTGCGTCTGCGAGTGTTTTTTTTTTTGGTTGGTGTGTGATTGAGAGTGTGATTTGTTGTGTGCCTTTTTTAAGGAATATAATTGGGTGTACGATGCCATTTTGAATTGGCCACGTTTCCTTGTATAACTTTATACTTAAATATCTTGAGTTGGTATTATTAGGGGACCTTTAAACACTGCCTTTCGCATAGTTCGTTATTTATTATCTTCGTATGCATGTATATATGTTCTTTTAAATGTGTATTCGTTGCGTGATTTTGCATGTAAATATATGTTATACATATTCGTCGAATGGCGCTAAATAAATAATACAAATCTACTAACTTAGGTAAATATTTGTCTTTGTGTATATGTAAATGTAAATGAATTGAGCGCGCACCTAAGGGTTTACATATGTATGTGTTTTTGGCATTTTAGTCTTGAAGTCAAGTCTATTGCACCCGGGGGCATCTAAACTTATAGGGCCTCTCTATAGAAGATACGGCTGGTAGCCGTTATAGGCGGCCATAAAGTATGTATGTATCGTCAGCAGAAGCCTGGAGAAGGTGACCTGACCTTCTAGGGGGTTGGGGGGAAGTGGATTGAGGGTGTGTATTTGAGCTATTGGATATACATATAATAGAACTATGAATTTATACATACATATATGAGTAGCAAGTAGCAGATACATATACTCTAAAATGTTCATTGTTACTTTTTCGTGTAGTGTTAGATTCTATGCTAAAACGCTTGACTTGTGCAGCTCCCCTCCGATCTGACGGACCGAGGAGATCTCACTTAGACTTCGAAAATTGAACAAATTGAACAAATACGTGTGTTGTGAGTGTCTAATTGATATAAGAACGTGGCAGAGGTGCAACAAATTTCGTTTAAGTCGTGTGTTACAAGTAAATTTAATCGTAAATTAGCCTATAATACTGAAGTGTAATACTGGCTGAGCAGTAAAAATAACAAATCGATGTGTGTGCATGAGTGTGCTGGTTGTCTTGTCCATCCACATCCACATTATGCCCCCCTAAACATCGGAATACATATATGTACATACTTATATTTTAGGGATATAGCGATGCTGATGTACCGATTCTCGGTTAACTTTGGGTTATTGGGATTTGCTAAAAACAATGCAGTCAAGAGATCTCGTCGACAAAATACCCGAAAGCCTGATAGAGTAGGGAGGAAAAAAACCTGTCGATCTGTCACAGATTTTTTGGGCAATGCCCGTGATCGTGACCTACCCAATGGATATGGTTTTGGGGTCTATGGGGACCTGGGTTCTGGACCACCGACCACTGTTCGATGTTGCGTCTAGCGTTGAATGCATATAGAGCTAAGTATATGTGTATGTGTTACCCATTTGATAGGTGCATCGTGTAAACAATAAAACCATCGGTAGTCCGAAGTCTACACTCTCCGAAATTCCCATCAAGAATAACGAGCTCGAGGTCTCTTTTTTTTTAGGAATGGAATGGGGAGTGCTCGTGGCCTTTTGTGGGGAATAAAATTAGCTAGTCATCGTTTAACAAAAATAAGTACAATATCTTTTTGCTTTCGTATTTCATATTGTATCTTGATGAGCTACATATATAGAACTATCAGTCTCACGTCCCATACCAAGGTAATAATAAAAATCTATGACATATTTTTAGTACATACGTAGATCTGTACATGTGCATAATAGTTTGTTAATCGTAAATCGGCTTGTGTACGTACGACTGTGTAGTGTGTGGTGTAGCGTTATATGCTTTGCTATGCAGAAGTGTGTGTTGGTTGTTCTACGTGTGGTTGGTTGGTTGGTTGGGTTGGGTTCTGGCCAGGTCCTGGTTCCGGGATCCTGGATTTTTGATTTGGGATACGGGGTCAAGGGGCGCTGCTGGGGCATTGACACATCATCCACATTGCATGGATATATCTAGGCTTAGTGCTGGGTCTTATGGTGTTGCAGCCGGAGTCTTGCAATATGCTCGGGCTCTGATCGCTTCCCCTCCTGCTGCTCTTGACCTATGTGACCTATAATTTCATCGAAACAACAACAAAAACACAACATGCAACAAGTACATCAATGTAAGCGAATACATACATAAATACATTCATCTGGGGCTTTTTACGCTGGTGCATAGGGTGTATGGTATATGGTATATGTGGTATGCTATACAACATTTCCTATGCCCGTTTCATTTTTTTTTTATGGAGGGTGCACAAATGGTGATTACGCATTAGACATACGGTTTTTGATTTGTGACTCGACTCAACTCGATTCGATATATGTATGTTTTCGTTTTTGTTTTAGTTTTGTTTCCGATCTTTAGCTTTGCGTTTTCACAGACAACACCTAACATACAACATCGGATGCTGGAGTTACTGGAGTTGTGCAAATACACATTTATGTACGACAATTAGATGATAGTAAATACAAAAACCCTAACAAACGAAAAGGTAATCTTTGTCATTCATATTCATTTGTAATCATCGTTTTTGTTCTGTTCTGTCGGAATCGGAATCAGTATCGGAATCGTAATCCACGCAAATATTGGGGATGGTGTTGATAGGGCCTCGACTAGAACTCGACTTGGACTAGTCTAGGCCGCAATTTCAGATGCTCCGCTCCGATTAAATGTCAATTTTAGCTTCGTTCCACGCCAATTTCCAGTTGTGTTAAAGTATCTCGGTCTCGTACAGCTGTTTAGTGGTCGTCGTATTGGCTGTCTGGTGTTGGGAATTCGAGTTGGAGTTCGCAGCAGCAGCGCCCGCACCAGCCGTTCCCGCAGCTCCTCCACCACCACCTACACCACCACCACCGCCGATCGCACCGCTCGTAGCATCACTGGCCACCACACCATTGGTAGCCGCAGCAGCAGCCGCCGCCGCCGCAGCTGCGGCTCCACTAGCCTCGCAGGCTAGGCTCAATGCGGCGATCTTCTGCTGGATGTTGGTCTCGCTGCCCAGCTTCCGGAGCAGCGTGTTGCTCCCGCCGCCGCCACCGGTCATGTCCTGCGATTGCGACGATGAGGACGAGGAGGGGCAGGCCACATCCACCGATGGCAGCTTGCTCATCTGCTGCAACCGCTGGTACTGCTCCTGCAACATCTTCTGCTTCTTTAGCAGCTCCTGGTGGCGCATCTCGAGAGCCACCTGACGCTGGACATGATCGTTGCCGGACTCATTGCCGCTCGAGTTGTCCCCGCTTGAGGTGTCGCCGCTAACGACAAGGGGGACGACGACGGGTTCACCCACTGGGTGAACACTGTTTCCCATGGCATTCGAATTGACTGCGGCAACTGTGCTCTGTGGCACATTCGGGCTGGTTGGACTGGCCAGTGGACTGCGTGAGCTGGTGCGTGGCGGCGGAGGTGGCGGGATGCGCTTGTGGCCCACCTTGGTGATCAATTCAGCGTTTCGCTCGGGCACGGGTGGCTTGCTGCTGCTGCTGCTGCCGCCGTTGGCCATTGTAATCTCGCTGGCCCGCGGACCAGTCGGTGGCGGCGGCCCAGGAGGCAGTTCGCCATCCGACTCACTGGGATAGGAGTGCAGACGGCGCAGGCTGCCCATGTTGGTGTGCACCATTAGCTGTGCCTGGGAAGGCTGCGATTGCGATTGCTGGTGGGTGAGCACTCCGCGCTGAACCTGAGCCTGAACCTGAGCTTGAGCTGGCACACTGCCCGAGGCGACAGCGATGACCATGCTGCCGGTGGTCGCCTGCTGCATATTGACGCTCGCCTCCGTGTAGAGACGGGCCTGCGATATTTGCGTGGTGACGGTGCTTTGTACTGCGGCCTGTGCGCTTTCATCGGATGCCGAATCTTCAGGGCGAATCTGCGGAAGTAGACTTGGACCCCTTGAGTTTGGCTGGGTATGGTGGATGGTTGGTAATGGCTCTTACCTCGTATAGTTGCTGGTGTTGCTGCTGCTGTTGTTGCTGCTGCTGCTGCTGTTGCTGTTGTTGGGCAATGGGCTTGGAGAATGTCTTGAGCTCATCTAGCAGAGCATCGAGTGCGTTTTCGGGTGCGAGTCCCCCGCTGAGAGCGAACGACCCCATCCTGGGTGTTGGGATTGGCTACAAGAACACACAATTTGGCGGTAAAACACAGGCACTAATGCAGCTCCCGCGAGGCGAAGAATAGTACATAATATATATTTATAGTTGGTAGTCGAATAACATCTCACATTTATACATTCGGCAATTAGGTACTCAAATAGGACACATATTGTATATATATTCTCGCAAATTAACTGATTACACATACACATCTGATACGATAACGATACGCAAGTAACCCAGCATTAAATATTGGAAAAGTATGTACTAAACGAAAAAAAAATTCGCTAGGTCGTTGAAAAAATGGTGCAGTTGCATAGGAACGGATCATGCAGTGAAAAAAGCCGTCTTGCAGCTAAACTCTACTGAATAATCAAAAACAAATAGGAACACATATGGAAGGCTTCCATTGGAAGCGCATACATATTACATGATCGGTTGCCATATATAGAATGTCCAGTAAATCAAATGTATATTCACGAGCAGGCAACAAGCAAAGGTAAGCGTTCTACAAAGTTGGAGTGGGTGAATATGGTATGATATGAAAATACTATTTCCAAGACACGAGTATGTATAGTAGATGGTATAATTAACTTTAAAGACGCCGCGGCGTAAGAAACAGGGGAGATGCGGATGCGGATGCGATTGACAGATGATGGCTGGTTAGATTCCTGTATTATATGGTATGTAAGCTATAAGCTCTAAGCTGAAATAAATTGCAAGCCATGTGGGACGCATTCATGGATTCTAAGGAGGTATTCACCGGTTACGATGCAGAATGTCGGGGGATAAGTGTCTTTCTATGTAGTATTGTATATCTGAGTTTCTATGGATCTTCCCTCATGTGCAGAGCTTTACCGGTACTAGATATCAGTTTTAGTTTAAGTCAAGATGAGGGTCTCTGATTGCTTAATTGGTACTTATGCTAGTTCTGATTTTGCTTCTGATTTTGATGATGATGGTTTCTGGGGGAGGAACACACCTTTAGAGTGTGTTTGATGGGGGGCTGATAGGTCGATGGATTGATAGATTGTTGAAACTTCAAAGACAACAATCGATGAGTGAGAACAGTGACTGAGAGTGATGACTGTTTGCATACTTGATTGACTGCAGTACAATTGGCCGTTCGATTGTCTGGTTTATGATTAATTGTTAGGTACTATATAGGTGGTTATGATTTGGGGGCGTGGTGGCTCGGAATGTTTGGTATGAGGGAGTTGGTTTAGTTTATGGGGAAGTAGCTGGTGTGTACGTACATAAACGGGGGTACACACACATATACGTACATACATATTCTCTAATTCGTATATTTGTATATATACACACACATATCATATCATATGCGTTGCTCGCAACTACAATATATCAATTAAAAGTTAGACAGATTAGCTAGGTGAGCTCTTCTTCTTTAGCGGGGAGTTTTCGTAAGATTAGAGTAAATGGACACATTTAATGAAAGGAATCCGGGAAGGGGCACTCAAAAAAAATCCCTAATTAATCTTTATCTACATATCTCGGTATCTTTTTGTTTTGCATTTGTTTTTGTGTTTAACTCTGTGCCACTTCCTGTTTCGTTGAATTCGTTTAAAGCTCAAACCGAAAGGTCATTCGTATTCTCGGACAACAATGATTGATTACGTGACTGGGAGGATGGATGTTCAACCGGAACCGGAAGAGACCCAGGCAATCAAGTTTTATGCGAGCTGAACAAGTAGGAGGTGTGTACACATTTGGGAGGAGGAGACAAAGACAAAACAACATATATGTACAACAAGGAACGAACACCAACAGAAGACTTGCAAAGCAGCGAACTCTGAAAACAAAACTCCTCGTATGGATACGGATACGGATATGGGGGGTGATTGGGTGGATGTGGTGTATATTAGCTTCAAGGGGTTCTTAAAGTCGGGACGGGAAAAATGGAACACTGAGTCAAACAAAAGTGGGTGTTCGAATACATTAGCCCCTTTGAAAACACCAACCGGTGTGGATCGGTTTATAAGATTACTTCCATTTCTATTTACCATATTGCTCGGTGGGGGACTCTTAGGCATTTGCAATCGGAAAGCAAGTAATGAACACTAATGGTTTGGATTTCCCCCCAGGAATAAATTCTGAAGAAAGGCACAGGAGAGTGTCCCAAAAAGAGCGTCTTAATCAGAAGATTAGAATTACTGGCTACTGATTCAGATCGAAAATGGGATTTTGGGTAGTTCTCGGGGCTTTTTGAATGGTAAGCACACAGACAGTCATTCAAATGGGCTTTTTAAACTTATTTTTATACATATGTACATACGAACTGGGATATGTAGCTATGGGTTGGTTGGTTGGTTCTGGGGGTTGCGGTTTCTGGGAGTGTTCTTCTGGTGGCTTATGGACAGCTTTTTTTGATGAGATTTGATATGGGTTTCGAGTTTATTACGAGTATTAGTTTAGTTAGAAGTTTATAGCAGTAGTAAATAGTATACAAAATATAAACTAGTATGTTTAATGCAGAGCAAATTATGTTTAGCAAAAAGAAAATTGAATTAATTTTATGATTTCATCTTTGTCAAAAAGGTTTCTTTGCTTTTTGGTTTTTATTATATTTTTGGTTTTGTTTTTGGATTTTTTCGGTTTGTTTGTATTTTTTATTTTTTTGTTTTGTAAATATTTCTTTTTTATATTTGAATTTTCAGTCATTACTCAGTAATTGCCTCTTTGAAGTTTGAACTCCATCGCCAGTTAAACTATGTGGGTTGTAGTTGTTGTTGTAAACGTTATTCAAAAAATGTTTGAGAAAAGGCAAAAAGAGAAAACGAAGGTAAACCTCATTTTATAAGACGTTAGCTTTGCTTTATAAATTAACGGTTGTGTTCTGTTTGATTATTTTGATATATTTTTGGTTCTCAGTATGTGATGATGATTGCAACTGGATACTTTGATATTTGATAATAATTCTTATGAAATGTTTTGGGTATCTGTTATTGTAGCTGTGGTATTCGGTTGCTAGTTAAGTGTTCAAATATCTAAGACCCAACAGGGCAAGCTCAGAACAACAAGCTTGAGGAATGGAGGGGCTGCAAAGGGCAATAGCAGGGGCGAGTTCAGGTGGTCAAGGGCACAAAAGGTCACGGGGTCAAAGGGCAGGGTGTCCGGGTGGGTCAGTGGCTCAATTGGTAAAGCTTCGCGGTGCAATGCGATCGCTATCCCATTCGAATTTTTTGAATTTTGATACTGTTACTCTCGCTGAATGAATTTTGTTGAATGGTTTCGAATAATTTTTGTGTGAAATGAACGATGAACCAAAACACTATTTATGTAACAACAGCCAATTGCAACTTATTCATAATATAAACGCACAAAAGATAAACCGAAGACTACAAACGAATAAGTGTAAGGTAATCAAAGTTTTTTTTTTTGGGTTGATACAATTAAGTGGGTTCGTATTCAAATTTTGCACAGTACCCAATTCAAATGGTTAATCACCGCCAAAACTTGAGCTAGAGTGTTGGACAAGTTATTTACATACATCCAGAAATGTGCTTTTTCAGGACAGACGGAGAGAGATACAGACGGACGGACTTGGTGGAAAAGCGGGGATTCGGTTCGCTGCACCTACATATATTTGTTATATTATATGTGATGTTTTTTTTTTTTTTTTTTACTTGAAAGTATCGCAGGATCGCAGATTCGAGTGAAAGCTACGAGTCTCGAGAGAAGATCAGATCTTATCTGGTGAGGTGGATTCGAAATAAAAGCATAGCAAACTCGATATATGTTAGGACGAAAGCAACTAATCTCTGCGATAGAAATAGTGGAAACAATACTTTTATACATATGTATATATAGTCATGACACGTTATGGAGCGGTATAATATGTATATAAGTATATATGGAAATGGAGGAGCTATGGCCAGGCCGCCTCATAACGCTTTCTTCGATTTTGATTTGGATTTGGATTTGAACTAGCTCTGTGTACTGTGAACTGTCGCAGCAACACGGTCTCAATCTCTCCCGGGACCCTAGATGCATCGCACTCACCTTGTCCGGCGCCGAGATGTCCGCCGATCGCGGCGGCTCCTCACTAATAGTTGGCTCATTGGGCGGCAGCCGTTGCTCCTGCACGCTGGCCAGGCTGCGGAGGCAAACAAAAAAGTAGATAATTTATGAATTTCGGAAGCGAGGAGCAGGTGATTGATGGATGGCCACCGAATAAGGGGCTACAAACCGTTTGAGCGTCACCAGGGTGCCAGTTAGTTTCTTGCAGCGACGCAGCGCCGATTCCAAGCGATCGGGCTCTTCTTTAAGGAACTTTTCTTCTCGCACCACCTTCTCCATCTCGTTGGACAGGATGCAGCGCAAGCCATTCGAAAGGGCCGGGAACTTGAGCTTCAGCTCGGCGACAGTTTTGCTGAAAGAGGGATCAGGGGTATCAGGCTTAATTGCCCATCATTGTATCATCCACTCACCTAGCCCGACTTAGCACCAAGGCCATGTCCTCCACGGCGGTCATGTTGACGCGAGTGCGACGGTTGATTACCTCACCGCGCAGATTCTCCACCGATCCCTCTAGGTCGCTAAGGTCCTTCTCCAGCCGGATGACCTCCTGCTTATACAGCTCCTCCTCGCGCGAAATGCGAGTGGCATCCTGGTCGCCCTGGTGATCCCAGAAGCTGCCGCTGCTCGCCAGCAGGGTGGCACGAATGCGCATAAACGTGCCCTTGATGTCCTCGCGCACGGCAACGGCCTGGGCCTGGGAGAGGCGCCTCAGGGTGCGGACCTCCATACGCAGGTCCTTTGCCTTCTTCTGCAGGCCGCGCAGATGGTTGTACACCTCGGGGGCCAGTGCGATGTCCGCTCGGTAGTTGGGATGGGCGGTCTGAGCCAACACGATCGGCTTGGGCGGCGGCGGCGGCTTTAGGCGGTCGCGCTCTAAGAGGGCAGGGTGTCATATCAAATCAGGTGGGGAAAAGCACTTGGGAAATGTGTTCACAACACATAGAAAAACGTGGCTGAGGCATGCGTGACGGTTTATGGTTTATGGTTTATGGGTGACGTTCTTACCTTGCGACGAGGTGCGTGGTAGGGTGGACGACTTGATTGCCGGCTTGGTTGGCTTTGTGTCAGCTGTAAGATCCACGCCCGTTTCGGAGGCAATGGGTGGCAGTAGTGAAAAAGGGAAACGGATGGGTTGCATTGTGTCTAGAAAGCGATCCAAGCACACCATTGCCTTACACTCAGAACAAAAATTGCCAAAAAATATATATTACAATATTTGAAAAGGTTTAATAAAATATATTACAGAGTTTCCATTGGAAACCATGTGCCCCAGTAATTTAAGGAATTCTAACAATGTTCATTCTGAGTGTTAGGGTGTGTAAATAATTTACCGGCATGTAGAGGGTTGTGAGACTTTGGTATTCCCTGTATATCATCGCTAAACGATACGGACTTCTCAAAGGACACGGATTTTTCTGCAAAACAAGGACAAGACATGTGACATGTGGCTGTTGAGAGTGACTTTGGAGGATTGGGTTTCCTGGTTTTGGGTGAGACTTACGGCACGAGTTTTTGCCCAACTTGGGAGCTTTCTCCCGAATGTACAGCTCGTCCCCGGAGCCGTTGGCTGCGCAGCGTGCGGAAGAGAGAACAAATGAGATATGCATGTAATTAGGGACCGGACATTCGCATCTAAGATCTTAAGAAGTTCCCCCGCGAGATCCCGAGCTCTTAAGTTCTACAAAGCAGTGCCAGGCGGTGCAGCCAACAGTGCTCCAAGCTAAGCGGGTGCGCCGTTTACACAACATCTAGGGGGATTTCCGGGGATTCAGATTCGGAAGATGTTCCCGAATCCGGACACATACCTTGCATCTGCGACGGCACGACCAGGTAGTTGGAATCCAATGTGGGCACAGCCAGCGGGGCAATCTGTGGATTCTGGTTGACCAGAGCCTTCTGCACGAGGCCCGTCAGGTTGGCCAGCTGTCGTTCCATGTGCTCCACACGAATACGGTGCAAATCTTCTGGCCTGCAAGTAGGTAAGCAAACAAAAAATCGTGGAATCAGTACAAAACTTAATAGCAAATTAACGAAAAAAAACTTGTCTCCAAGTGTTGAGTGCCGCTTATTGGGCCACACATCCGCTGGCACTGCATCGCTCCAATTGCGCAGCCAAGCCTATGCATCCGTCATCGCAGTGCAGACACCGGAATTGGAATTGCTATCGGAATCCAAATCCGAATCCAAGTTGAAGTCGAAACGCGCTGGTCGCAACAACACTTAGCGCAGGGGAGCGTGAACCGAAAGAATGCAGGCGTCCTCTCTTGCTGCGATGCGACTTCGATATACCCTCTACCCCATCACATATACATATCCCCCGAGCCAGATCCCCTCCAGCTGGTGCCAATATACCCGTCGCTTCGCTGGGTAATCGTTGGCACGCAATGCCGGTGGTGATGCCGGTGGTCCGCTTTCGCAGTCGTCAATGGAAGGCAACTCGGAGCGGTGGCAGTGCAAGAACCAGTGCACCAAGAGAGCTTGCAGCCAAAACCATGACTACCTGCAGTGGTATGTACCAATTCATATTCCACTCAATTGGGTAACCATTTACCAACATGGCCCTGGACTCATGACGAATCCGAATGGTCAGTGGTCAGCACACCAGCGCGGTTTGCCAGCTGCCTGGTTAACTTTCAGATGGACGAGCTGCTGCTGCTGCAGAAGTCAGTGATGAGAATGGAGGAGCAGGACAAGGCCAACATGCCTATTCCGATGGCCACTGAATGTCCGGAGCAGCAGGCGGAGACGGATGGACCACCATCGCAATCGCAGCTGCCGGAGCGAATGGCCTTGATGGCTGCAGATCGGTAAGACTGCTTTAGTTGCCATAGGGTGCATCTATAAATAGACCATTGCAGGGGTGAGCACGATACCACCGGCTCCAGTGGTCCCTGGCACTCGCATCCACAACCGCATCCGACCTCCTGGATGGAACCGAAGCCCTCCAAGTTGCAGACCCTGTTCCAGATCAGCATCACGGCCCTGGCCTTTCTCTCCTTCGGCGGCTATCTGCTCTGCCTGATCGTGCAGGCCATCAAGAGCAAGGGCACCACCTACTTCCATCCGGTGGCCACGGCCACCACCACCTCATCCAATGGCAATGTGAAGCGCATCAAGGTATACCGGCGCAGCAAGCGCAATTCTGCTGCGCCCAAGGAAACCGGCGCCTATCTGCCCAACCTGCTGCAGCAGGACTACGCCTCATACCGGAAAGCTGTGCGAAATCGCGGATGGAGAATGCTCACCTAGTGGGATCGTATATCTGGTTGCCGCGATGCGTTAGACGATTGGGTCCCACCTTGATGCCGTACAGTGCGTACTGATCCTCGGTCATGGTTCCGTCACTGTGAATGGAAATGGTATTTTGGGGAATAAGTAATGATTCTCCTACTCCCCCACTCCATATCCCGCCACCTCACCTCTGCTCCTCGTCGATAATGGGCGCCACCACAGTGCCCCTTGTGCCGTATTGACTGTAGTACGGCTCCTCATAGTTTCCACGGCTGCTGCGCTCCGGAGAACTGGTGTATCCGTCTGTAAAGGCATTCTGCTTGGTTAAAACAGCGACTTTGACCGGTAGATATAGTACATATATGATATATAGGTGGGTAGTTGATAACTAAGTGTGTTACTCGGTACTCTATCATTTGGTAGTTAAATTTAGGACTAACGAAACGCAATAAATAAAACATAAGATCAATTCGTAATGAAACGGATGGGATGCATGATTGGGGCCGCATAAATGAATGCTTTCCGATTGGTATTGGTGTTATGTTAAGTGCACTGCCAATATCGTATTATATTTGAATTTGTAATCTGTAATTTGAATTTGAATTTCCAGCGGTTCCATAATGCAAGCGCAAGCCAATTGATGATCAAATGTACACAATGTGTAATGTACTGTTCACATTCCACACATACTGTTCATAAGTATGGAAATGGAAGCGATGTTAGCTATAATTGGGTAGAAAGGCAAATTCTCGTGTACCTGGAATGCTGTATAACTGATCCGGGGTGTAGGGAAACAGGGGTTCCATGCTACCCCTTGGATTGAGTGATCTGAGTGGTTTCACAGGTGCTCCTTTATCGGTTTCGATTCAGATTGGTTCGGTTCATTTTCGGGTTTGAGTGTTGTTAATGGTTAATGGATGGAACATGAATCATATTTAGACTTGGCTTTCACTGGAGAATGCGCATGACTGCGGGAGAACTGAACTGAACCGAACAACGTAAGCCCGCCAAAATACTGAATACTGAAGTCCCGGGAAGGAAGTAGGAGGCAAACGGGGCAGGGAGGATCACCTGGGGAGGAGGAGTAGGAGGTTCGGTAACGGTTCGGTATTGGTCAACTCAAAACATGGGTCCACTACTCGGAACGAATGGAAAGAATACGGAATTAGTCGACAGCTTCGACCATGCTACGCACCCATCGACACCTTGTTGCGTTCTGATGAGTACATGCCGCGGGGCAATGTCTGCGACGAGCCCACGTAGTAGGGTGCCGGTTGTTTCCCAATCTGAAAGATAGATGGATAAACGGTGTTTCAGATTAGTTCATGGAATCGCCGGAGGGCAGTGGCAGTAGCAATCGCAGGGACAGAGACAGGGACAGGGGCATGGCTATTTTGATTAACACTGCCAATTGGCCTTCGTTCAAGTAGTGAAATGAAATGTCCAATATGGTTTCTCTTCTCTTTAATGACTATTCGTGGCCTATCCCTAACATTGCGCACAGACACGTACTCGTAGGCACACTGAGAGAAATGACTAGATCTATTAACCGATTTGCAATAACACATTCTTTATACATTGTTATCTATAAAGCTGCACAAATAATTATTATATTATAAGTGAAATTTAAATATATATAATTTCTGTATTCATCAAGGTAAGAAAGAATATCTCTAAAACTCATTATTATTTATCAAGCTGGTCAATTATTCATTATAATCTAAGTGAAATTGAAATATATCTGTTATTATTTGAGTTTATTACCCACAAAACTCAGGAAAATAATACCGAAATGAAATTCATCTAAAACTAAAATGAACTAGTTCTAAGTTTTAAAACCCTTTTTGTGATAGCTCCTTATAAAGTTTATTTCTTTTCAGTTCACCAACATTGGTTAGACGGTTGTTTTGATTGGTATCCCAGCGCTGACTTGTGGCCATGGCAAGATGAATAACAGTTAATTGGCATATGTACCTACATGTACCCACCCACCACTCGATCAATCCGATCCACTCACTTGCCAAATTAGCCAAATACACAGAATTCAAAGCTTTTTTCTGCCTGAGTAGTGAAGGTATCATTGGGGATCAGTGGGTCGAGCGACATGGTTAGTTCTCCAGACAGTTCTGGGCTCATTACGTTATGGATTTGCAAATTAGGTGCTGGATGATTATCGAACTGCAACGATCCCTGGAGTGCAGCAAGTGCAAGTGGTTGGCTCATTCAACGCCTGCTACGGCAGACCACAGTCACAGACGCCGCAGCCCACAGACCTCAACCAGTTTCAGATTCAGTTTCGATTTCAATACAACAATTTTACAATTTGTTACAACTGAGCGCGACTGGCGGCCAGCTGAGCAGAGTGGCGCTTGGAACTCGGAGCTGGGAGCTCGGCAGAGCTGATGTTTTTGTTACGGAGGCAGCGGCTGGGTTTTCGGCGCAACTCAACCTGGCTGTGGCGCATGCGTGGATGATTAGTGAAGTGCGAGACATCGCGGCAATCGGACGTTGCAGACGCGTGGAAGATCGAATCTTCCAGACCCAGATTGAGGCTCAAATTCAGATTCAGATTCAGATACAGATAAACCCCCGGATTGCATCCATACTTAATCAGAGATACGGCTACAAAGATACAGAAACGAAATGGCGCCGAGCCTGTCTTTAATTTTTGTCAGTGTCGTGCTCCTAAACGCAGTGGCCTCCTTCGCCTGGAAGCCCATCGCGGGATCCCCCAGCGGAATTAGTAGCAGTGGCAGCTCAGCCTCCTACAGCCTCAAGCAATCGCATCCGGGGTCGGCTAGCAGCAGCCATGAGATGTCCACCAGTTTTTCGCAGTTCCAACCGGCCAGCGAAAAGGAATCCATCGACGTCGACGAGGACGACCTGCTCCTGGGCAGAGCGGCTATTGTGAATGGCGTGGATGCGGGCGCCTCGGTGGCATCACAGCATGCATCTGGCCTCAGCTTTCCCGATCATGTGGAGGACCAGTACGAATCGTACAGCATTGAGGACGAGACGCCCAAGGAGCCGTTGACCTTCACGCGAACGCCACTGTACGGTGCCGACCGGTGCAGCGTCAAGAAGTTCGCTTTTAATCAGGACGGCGAAGTAGAGTACACCAATCGGATGCCAGAGCTGGACCAGTTCACCCTCTGCTTCTGGATGCGATTCACTAACCACAGCGGCGACCACGTCCTCTTGACCTACGAGGGTGAGTCAGTTTGGGTTGGGCTTGGCTTGGGTGGTAGTTTATGGGTGGGTATGGGGATCAGCCTCTCACCGTGACTTGCTATGGCGAGACAATAGATCCACAATGACCACTGTTGCATAAGCGGCAAGACAACGGGAGATGGGGGGGAGTGGTCGGCTCAGAGTCTGGTCTCTGGTGACGGACGTCGATCTTTTGATGGGCCACCGCTTTGGCTAAAGAGACCTTCGCTGTGGGCAATGAAATTTCATTTGTGAATTTGTGGGCCACGCTCCGGCGATCGCACCTGGCTGCGAAAGTGAAAGGAAGTCCACTTCCTGATGCAAGTCAGCAAAAGACGACAGGTAGCCACCGCTCTTGGTTTGATGGTCAACGATGCTGAGATGATGATGATGATGAAGGCTGGTAAAGATTATGATGGTCTTTGGATGAGAAGTGGTGCTATACAAGAGGCGGCTTGCTGACAATGTCTTGCTATTTTTAAGATTTGCTTTGTTTTCCAACGTCTTGAATTTTTGGAAATTTCTTCAACTGCCCCATGACGCCGTAGTCTTTGCCACCGTTGGTCTTAGTTTTCTTGTTGTGCTGCTGCTGCTGTTGTTGTTGTCGTTGCGGTCGCATTACATAAGCGATAATTTACCTGTTTCCAGTTGGATGTCTCGTCGGCATTGTTGGTGTCGCACTCAGCTTGAGCTTCAGCTGCGGGCCTTAGCATTTGACATAATTCCAAAGCCTCATTTCAAGTAGCGGGGATCAACGATCAGCGATCTGCGATCAGCGATCGGTGATCAGCAGTGGGGCTTCCGGATTTACAAAACCCAGCCCGTTCCGCCGCTAGGAAGTGTTCAATTTTCTCACACAGCCGGTGCTGCGTGCGGTGATTCATATTTAAATGTATGCATATGTGCCTGGCAAGCCTAACAGGATTTGCCGCTTGCCGGTTTTATAACCCAGCTATAACTGAGCTCCTCGCTCGGATGGGCTTCCGGATCTGCTGGGTTATGGCTCTGTTATGGCTTACATAATATTCATAATAGTAAGGGTAAGGGTTAGGGTTTAGGGTAAGGGTAGCATTCTGCAGTTGGGTAATACTGCTCCGATTTCGCAATCTCAATCGTCAACTATTACCAATCTGATCCACTTGCGCTTATCCATCCATTCACACATTCACAGCTGGAAAGGAACCACGCGAGGTGCAAATCTGGGTCGCAAATGCGCAGAATTCCAGTTTCCTTTCGATGGCCATAAAAGGTCAGCAAATGTACAGGTGAGTCGAAACGAGACGCAAACGCAACCGCAACGATCCATCAATCGAGGCAGTCGCCAATCTATCCATCCAATCTTTATCGTTTCTGGGCAAGATTGAACTACCCGCTGAAAATGCGGCAGTGGCATCACATGTGCAGCTCATGGAATGGCAAGACGGGCGAGTGGCAGGCATGGCTGAAGGCAGAACGCATTGGGCGTGGCTTCCACAACTCGGTGAGTATGAATGGACTCCAATTACGCTGCCAATTGCGAAAATGCCAAATACATACATATATGTAACAGCGGTCGGTCGCGTCCCATAGGGAAGAGCTCTGCCGCCACGCGCACAGTGTACACTTCGAAAGGCTGTGCTGTGCAAATTACTCATAAAAATGAAAGATTGTATTGTGTGCCGACCGCTGAAACGACCCAATTTTCACTTTCGCATGCTGTAATCGCCACTTTAATCTCTGCAGTTAGTGGGTCATAAAATCCCAGCGAACGGCAAGCTGCGCTCCGGTGGAAGTTCGGTCACCGGCGAGGTGAGCCACGGCCTGCACTTCGAGATGACGCTGGTTCAGGTCTACCGGGTGGCACTCAGTGCCGGCAAGGCGCATCGCGACCACAAGCACCACCATGTCCACCACTTCGACCACGAGGGCCAAGAGCTCTCCAGTACCACTCGTGCCCCACCCTCGGTGAGTGTATAGTCAAAGATTTATGTTCTTCCAGTAGGACCCGGCCTTGTAATACTCCTGCTCTCCTCAGATCAATCGTCCCCAGCCCATGCACACGCTGCTGGCCAGTGGCCAGATACCCACTAGGGTGCGCATCAACTTGGCCAACCCACCGCCACCCCCGCCGTCGGCAAATGGAGCTGCCGCGCCCGCTCCTGCTGCACCCACTGATCCCGCCCAGCAGGGCATCACCATCAATACGAACTTCGTCAATGGACAGATCAACGCGGGATCGCGACTGGTTGCCCAGCAGCTCCTGGGACTCTTGCCGGGTGGCCAACTGCAAGCCAATCGCTTCCAGATGCTGAGCAACTCGGCCAACGTGAAGTTTATCGACGAAACCGAAACCCACATCCAGTTCAAGCGGGAGACTGAAACCTCCAAGAAGCTACAGAAGCGCGGCCTGGTTTTGCTGGACGATGGATCCGTGGTGGACGACGGATCCGGAACAGATTCCAGTTTAATCTACAATGGACTCGCCGACTTCGGCGGCCAGCAGTTCAAACAGGACCTGACGCTCAAGATGAGCCTGGAGGAGGAGATCAGTACGCACGACCGGGAGCCCGCCGAGGAGGAGGTAAAGGCGGTGATGGCCATCTGCAGTAGTTGCCAGACGGAGCCCTTCCAGGGCGCCATTGTATTCGCGTGGAAGGATGTGCGCGAGCACATGAACAACGCCCTCAAGGGCCTCAGTGTGGGTCCGTGCGGCAACTTCTAGTTGTCCAAGGACCGTGTCCAAGGACCCAAGCTTGAGCTTTCCCATTCCCCATCTTCCTTGTCTGTTTTTTTTTTTTGTTTGTTTCTATATGGTGTGGGCACCTCCAGTCCCACATGTCCATGTGGGAGTCAACGCTTTACACTGGCGCCACCAGGGCCCTCCCAACAATCCTTGACTCGCTCATGGACACCCAACCACTTTCCCATCCCCATTTTCAATCCCTATCCCAATTCCACACCCTAGCAATTACGCGGTGATATTGAATAAAGGACTATTTAAATCAAAACTCACCTTTGACTTGTGGATGTGCTGGTGCTTGTAATCCGAGTCGAACTCCGGCTCACTGAAGTAGCTCTGATCCTGGTCCCAGTTGGCCTGCGCCGGGGGCAGGGGCTGGGGTATGCCCGGGCCGCCGGGCAGGATCTGGGGCGGGGCCGCCACCTCGGTGGACTCGAATAGGCGCAGCACGGAACGATCACGTATTTCGCGGAGATGGGAGCGTACATCCTCCAGCTCGTAGAACATGTCCTTGCTGGCATCATGGATGTAGATCTTTACATTCGGCCCCTCCAAATAAGACATTGTCAGCTGGCGCGGGAACGAGCGCACGAACAGGGCGCGAACCGTGTCGATCGAGGTGATCTCGTTGGGCAGCAGGGCGCGCTTCGTCTCCGAGCGGTACTGCAGAAAGACCAGGCCCAGCGGGCGCTCCAGCGTTTTGGAGGGCGTGCGTACCACGGGGAGCGAGGAGCGCTGCTTGCCGCCCCTCCGGAATCCTGTGCTGGCCGTTTCCACCTCCGACATGATGCCCGGATCGTCGTCGAACAGAGGTCCCTGATTAACGGGTGCATAGCCCCTCATCGGCTGGTTTTTCTTGTTCTTTTGGGCGCGCGTGCTCATCTGTAAAAGAGTAATGGGATATGATGATAATAGCTGAATGGTTAGGGATCCCTCATCCTTCCAACCTCCAGATCCATGGCGCGCTGCTGCTGGGGCGCCATCTGATGAGCATGGGGATGCTGGGAGCCGCCGTAGACCAACATGTCGCCGCCGAGCGTGTGCCGTCGTGGATCATCGCGACGCATGGCTCGTCGTCGTTCGTCGCCACCTGCGAAAAAGAGACACTCATGTACATCTCTGACTACTCCTCCTGGTCATTGGACTTACCCTGTTCGTTTGGCGGAAGTCGTCCCGATTTTGCTTCATTCTGCCAGTCTTCTTCTGAAAGAGAGCCACCATAGAGTTAGTTGGGTGCCCACATACCATCCCGTTCTCTCCTCCTGAGAAACCCACTGTACGATACTTACCGCCTTCTCTTCCCTTGCGCTTCTTCTTCGAGGAGGAGCTGCTGCTGCCGCAGGCGCTCTGGTTAGAGGAGGCGCTCTTGTCTTTGCTCTTCCAGCGGATCAACATCCTGGCTCTTTGCTCTTGCGGCTCTGTGTGGCTCAGTGGATAAGTTGCAGCTGCATGAGGGGAACGATGGGGGGAAACGGGGCGTATGGGTAATGTGAAAATGCCACTGAACTTTGTTTACGTTTGATATACCGGCAACAACACGCTGAACCGCCCACACACACACACACTAACAGTATGCAACTTTGGTGTAGATAAACCATATATGTACATATGCTCGCCCACATCCTGGCACCCTACCCTACTCCACACAGAAAGGGTGTGGGGAGTGGCACCTCTCCAAGTGCCTAATGCAAAAAGCATGCAACGAAGTGCGCAAACTCTGCAGCACGGAATGAAGCAGGACCGAGCAGAAGGCGTGACTGGAGCTGGATCTGGAACTGCATATGGATCTGGATCTGGACAGTGTCAAGATGAGGCTCTGTCAGTCAGTAAACTGTGTCAAAAATCTTTCGTTTGACTCTAAAGAGAGCATCATAATTTGAAAATCTCATTTCCGGAGATAATGAGACAGAAATATTGCCCATTTCCAAAACTCTATTATATAAACTATCACTATTTGAGTTACATTGAGTTACATTCGGCTGCATGTTCAGATACATTTTGCCTGTTGTTCCCAAAACACAGGCTCCGTGTAAGGGGCACAAAACGTGGGGGAACATGAACAGACATGTGTACATACGAAACATGGTATACTTTTTAGTGCACGCACTTCACGGGTTTTTTGTGTGCCTGTGTATACTCATCCACCCACTTCCACACATCCCATCGGCTTTAAAGCGAGGGCACTAAAGGAATTTTTGATTAGATTTAGGTGCGGTGCCTTCAGCTCAATCCCGTTTTTATTTTTCTTTTGCCCCAGAGCACACCTTTATTTGTGTCAAAAACATCCAGTTTCCAGTTGGGAAAGGGGTGGGAACATGGAAACAAGAACACGAACTTGTGGTTGTTGACTTTTCCACACACGTCAGCGGTTAGTTGGCTGCATTCCGTGGAGTTTTCACAGAGGATCTCCTCCTGTATCCTGTCTCTACCTTGTATACCTATGCACATATGAGGGTGTGTGGGCGGTTCACTGGGACACCGACACCGCCGGCGGTGTTTCTGGCTTTTTCGGGTACTGCACTTGCCTTGCCGTTTCCAAATCCGATTTCGAAAGGTTCCACAATAGATGGGGCTCTAAGTTCTAGGCCCGACCGTAGCTCATGGTTTTTTGGACAGCTCACCGTGTGTCCTTAAAATGTAGATTTAATTCAACACAAACACTCGACACTGCACTCAGCTATCAGCCAGCAGCTATCAGGAGTCAGGACTCAGGACTCGGGACTCGGCCACCGACGACGCAGCATAACGGCAGAAGAGCAGAAATATTTCTGGTATATCTACACCGGAAAGCGTTTCCGCCCTAGCCGAATGAAGTCTGCGTGGTTGGGTTTTTGCGGCGCATGCGTGGGCATTCGCTGGGAATCGCAGTGAACCCGGTTCGGTTCGTAGTGTTCCCGGACCTCCAGAGTCACTGGGCAGCCTGGCATCCCTGCATTCCGACAGTGCCTTGCTTGGCGTTGTACGTGACGCTTGTCAACTGCTGTCGCCGGGGAATCCCGAATCCTTGGTGGAAGTGCCAAGCGAGTGCCTATCGAATGAATCCAATCGATAGCAGGGCGGAAGTCCTTTAAAAACAGGTGCAGGTGACGCAACCAACGTGCCGTGACGCACATGATTGTCCTGCGCCGACTATCTGTACCCCTGGCAACCCGGGTCCCGGGTTCCAGGACTTGCAGCCTCCACCTGCTGGAGTTTGCCGGCCAATGGCCGAGTTCTGAGAAACGGCAGTTCGAATCGCATATGCGGGTCATCAAAAACTTTGTTGCGGAGGAGGAGGAACAGGTCCTCATGCGGGAAATCGAGCCTCACATCAGCCGCTTGCCCTACGAGTCGAGTCACTGGGATGATGTGGGTATAGTTGAATGGTATGGGTTACGGGTTCACTTCATGTCATCTTCACAGGCGATTCATGGATACCGCGAGATGGAACGCAGGAATTGGTCTTCCGAAAACCAAGCTGTGCTGGATCGCGTCTCCAGAGACGCCTTTGGCGGTCGGGTTATGCCCTTTGTCCACATCCTAGACCTGGCTGAGCTTGGAGTGATCAAACCGCACGTGGACAGTACTCGGGTGAGCTGTTGGGCTGCAAACGGGGCACCAAGCTACAATGCTTATTTCCCATTTCATTCGACAGTTTTGTGGCCACACCATCGCGGGCATCAGCCTGCTCAGCGATTGCGTTATGCGACTGAAGCGGGTAACCAAAGATCCTGATCCTGCGAGCCAATCCGCAGATGTGCTGCTGCCACGATTCTCCCTTTACATAATGAGCGCCTTGGCGCGCTACGAGTTCACCCACGAAATCTTGGCCAGAGAAGAATCCTGGTTTAAGGAACGTCTGGTGGAAAGGCATCGACGCGTTTCTGTCATTTGTCGCAACGAACCCTAAACATTATCCAATTTTAATATGGCTTCTTGCCTCAAGTCCTTTCCATGACATTCAATCCTTGAATATCATGATTTTTCATTGGTTCCTGATGGTTTCCAGCTCTTTTGCGGAAAAGTATAGGTCACATGATCGTACAGGTATATACAATGAAAATTTATTCCGATTTGGTGATCAGTTAAATGTAATACAGACGGCGAACTGACACGGATCACACACTGTGTGATTCCCCCAAGTACTATCCACCTAATAAAATGTACATAATGTATAGCTTAATCTAACTACTTGTACGGTATAAATATTGGGTTCGTCTTCCCTTACATCTCGCTTTCAAATTTTCTATTCCCTCCTATAAATTTTTAAAATTTGTGATTTTGTTTCTCAATATATGTGTTGATGCTTTTCTACTTTCTTTTGTACGTTGTCGTCTAGTTTCATTTAAAGCTTAAAATATGAGAATGACAGAGACAGGAAGAGATTGAAGGGAAAAAGAGTGAGATGGGATATGGAAAGAGGGAAAAGTACAATGACTCGGTGCGGATTCAAGGATTACTGGGAAACGGTGATGTTTTGTCGCTTAAACTACCTTCATATTTGCACTACTACTAGCCACTGCTAGGTAAAGTCTGAGCCGTACGTCCGGCTCTGGGAATGATATTATGGCGATGGGTTCTTCGATCTGGCTGTGCATCAAGACGCTGTCCAGGTGAGGGGCTCATCCCAACTTCCGGCGTCGCGGCAGCTGCAGCGGCAGAGCCACAACGGAAGCGGACGAGGACGCAGTCGCCATCACCGGAAGGGCCAGGGCCACGGGTGAAGCTAGTCCTCCGCCCACGTACTGCAGGTGCTGCACCACCGAGAGCTGCGGCTGCTGTTGCTTTAGCAGCTTGGCGGCAGCGTGCGCCTCCGCCGCCGCCACCACGACTGGATGCGCCAGCTCGGTACCGACTCCTCCTCCTCCTCCGTTGGCATGTTGGCCGGTGCTCTCGCAGTCGTCGTCGTCTGAGATCAGTGATATGCTGAGGTCGCTAGACAGTTTCAAGGAGATGGGCGTGGGCGGCGAGGGGGCCACCAGCGGTGCCACCTTGGCCCGCAGTGCCGGCGACAGTTTCTGCAGCTGTTCCGGCAGCAGGTCGGTCGTGTATTCCGGGGCTCCACTGAAGGCCAGTCCTTCGCGCAGTTTGCTCAGCGAGAGCTCGTAAATGCGATTGGCGATGACCGTGTGCACGGTGGTCTCGTCCGGCAGCGTGGCTGTGATGCCACCGCCTACGTCCACCTCCAGGAAGCAGCTCGTATCGTTGCCACCGCCACCGTCTCCTCCTCCTCCGCCGGCCATGACCATCCCGTTGCTGGCCGCCGTGGACGCTCGACAGGGCTTGAGATGGCCGGACAATCGCGTCTGGCAGTTGGCAGTGGTGGAGTTGCGCGGCACCAGCGAAACGGTTACCTCTTCGATGGTCTCCGACAGGGTGAGCGGTGCAAGGGGCGGTGGCGAGCGCATGGAAAGCTGAGGGCGCGCCATGGCCCCGCTGCTGCCTTCCTGGTCGTTGTACTCGTCGTCGCTGGTTATCAGGATGCTCTCGGTTAAGAGATGCGAGTGGGTGCCGACTCTGCCTCGACCCTGCCTTCTGCCCACTCTAGGACGTCGCTGGCCGACAGCGAAGGGGGCGGGTATCAGAAGGCGATTGTGGCTAGCGGCAGTGGATGGTCCAGGTCCAGGTCCAGCCTCCTCCCGCTCGTCGTCATCGTCGTCCGACAGCAGGTCAATGGTCACGTCCGCCGGCAGGGTGGCCGCCACATGGCGCCGCTGCAACCGGTCAGTCTTGGAGGCGATCACTGTTGCCTGTGCGCGCATCTGGGCCATGCAAATCCGCTGGCGCTCCCGCAGGCGTTCCATCCACCGGCAGCGGCGCCGCTTGAGCCGCCTGTTGTCGAACAACCGCGGCGATATGTAGAATGGTTCGGAATGTCTCTGGTTCATGGTCTACAATTGGGAAGGTTAGTCTACGTGACTCAGTGGGCTACAGTGTCGCCATCTGCTCACCGATTGAGTAGACTGATCTGCCGGCGGTGGTGGTGCCTCCGGGTCGGGGTCAGGTCATGGGCACCGGGCACTGGGGCTCCTCCTCCTTCTCCTTTTGCTCTTCCACAGGCAGCGGTACAGTTGGATCCGCTGCAACTTGCATAATTGCGTGGCGGGCAAAGCGCCTCCAGGGGCGGCGGCGCGGGATTAGGCGCTGCGCCTCCCGCCGCTGGACATGACGAGATGCGGGCTGGCCGAGATGTGTGCTTTTCCACGGGACAGCTGCTCAGGGTGCGCTTTTGTTGTAATTTAGAATTCTGTTTATAAAACTGCATCGATAAACGCCACACATCGATAACGCGACCGTCGATAGTCAGTCCCGTGAGCAACCATGGGCGGCCACTGGTCACACTACGTCGCTTATGCGCGAAGTCGATACTTAATTAGCTAGTTTGGCGCGCAATTTGAATAATTTCAGATTTGGTGCAATATTTCAATAAAAGTCAATATCATTTTTATCATTTGATAAATTATACGACTATTTCAGATAGCTGTTTAACCACCATCAATCCTAAATTGACTAAGCAAAAGGGCGGTAATAAAAGTATCCTATGCCGCAAGTAAAAGATTAAAAACTCCGCGTTTGTAAGAAAAACACTCAAGCTGATTTTGGCACCACCCACTATTTTGAGAATCACTCGACTGGCGCAGGCGCTCGTATTAGAAAAGCTTTCACTCAATTCCAACAGGAGCTTTCACTCCGCATCCGCACGAGGACCGAAACGAAAAGAAAGTGCCCAAATTCGGACGGAGTCAGTTGGCAGATCATCGCCTCCAGATACGGATGTAGCAGACAAAAGACATGCTCTCAGGACTCGAAGTTTCTGCGCTTTACGAGCGCCCAATACGAATTATATTGGCCTCAGCCGCAAATTACAATTAAGTTTTAAAGTAGATGATTAGAGAGTTAAGCTCCAGTTCTATAAGGATAGGCTCAAAAGTGAAGACGAATTTCTGGATAATTTAAACAGAAATTTAAACAACTAAAATATGTATTTGAACAAAACTAGATTAGTTAGGTATAATACGCCCCCAGAAATGTTTCCCATTATGAAAAACCATTTTGTAGGAAGTAGTTACATCATTAATCAATTAATAGAGAACTAAACAAACCGATTTTAGTTGCACATATGCCACTTTGGGATCCGAGTCAAATTAGTCAAGTTAGGTTTTCTAGAAATACATTTTCGGGACTCCTTTCTGTAAGCAAACGAAATTTTCTAAATAGCTTTCTATACAACTCTTTACAAACACTAAAAAGTAATCATACTAAGGGAGGCCTAAGCAATAGAAGTTTAGATATGCATCTTTGAAAAACCAATTCTTTTGCTTGAGCTATGGATGACCTTTCCTTAACCTATCAAAAGCATATAAATAGCTAACTTCAGGAACTTTTTATAATTGAAACCGTCTTACTTAAACTGTAATAAACGAGGGCCAGTTTCGACTTATAGCTAAAAAAAAAAAACAAAGAGATACCCCAGGCTAAGGATCTTGATTAAGAATCTTCTTTTCTTATATCTTAATATCTTCACTGGGTTGCAAACTGCTGAATCTCAAAATTAAATACGCTTTCATGAATTGAAGAGCTCAAATTAGTTATTCTAAATCCTGGGGATCGCTAATCATTTAAAACTCATTTCTTTCGGGCAGCTTTAAGAGAATGCAACACCCACTAGTCAAATAGAGTCCTGTGGGAAGGCGGAAAAGATCCGATTTCAGTAATTCACGCGAATGGCTCATTTCCCAGCTCACAGAGTAGCAAAGGAAGGGATCTAGAGCTGGAGAGGGAGACGGATACGGAGGAGCTGCCCTTGGCGAAGGAGACCCGCTTGGTGATGGAGGAGGGAGCCGGGTGCCGAGAGACAATAGACAATAGACAGGAACCACAACAGAAATTATAGACTCGGTCTTGACTTGGCTTGACTGTAGCCGGCGCTTTGCGTTTGGCTGCCAGCAGAGGACCTCTGTACTTGGTGCCCTTTACTCCGGGCTCCGTGCTCCTTACTCCGAGCTCCTTACTCCTTACAGCGCCAGCTGCAGCCCCTTTGACTGTTTGTGTTGTGTTTCTGGATTGCACTTTGGCCGTTTAAATCCGCGAGGTGTGGAGCTGGGAGCAGGGGGCAACCGCATCTTGGCGCACCACACGCACCCGTAATCGACTCCCCCTGGCTTTGGATCCGACATCCGACTCCAGCTCCGACTCCAATCCCGCCCCAACCCGTGTCCGTCTTGCAGGTCTTCCAGGCCAGACTCTGCCTGCAAATGTTTCCTGGCTGAGGACTGAGACCTGCATTAAAATGAATTCCTTTTGAACAGTCGAGCGGAGGCAGGCGCAGGAGCAGGGCACCCAAGTCGATTTGAATGAATGCACGTCCTTGCTGCTCATCCTCCCGGTGCTCATCGTCCTGATGGCGGCAAACAGGGGTTGCCCGCCAGCCTCGTCGCGTCCTCAAGTGTTTGCCTTCCTCAGGTGTTGAGTTGAGTCGAGTCGAGTCAAGTTGGCATTGTCTTTTTGTTTTCGCCGTCTGCCGCAGTTGTTTTGCTTTAGAGCTCCTCCGGTTTCTCCGCCCCCGTTCCGCCAGTTGCTCATCCTTATCCGCATCCTCATCCTCATCCACCCGCTCAATTTTTTATTGTGTTTTGGCATTACGCCAAATGTGCAAAGCCAACAAAATACCAAAAGATTGCACATTGCACCTGTCCTTGGGAACAGCGCTTTGGTTTACTGCTCCTTTGGCATCCAATCCGGCTAGTCGCTCCATGTCCTTGCAACTCTGGCTCCTGCTTCTGGTGCTTCTGCTGCTGCTGCTCCTTCTTCGTTCCCTGATGGCCAGCTCATCGATGATGCTGATAGTGAATGCTGTTGCTAATGTGCCTGCCGCCTGGAAAGACGAAAGTACATCGGTTACTTTGATGATCCTCCTGGGAGCTGCCCCTCCTCCTCTGTGTCTTCCGTTTCCATAAGCAGTTCGCGTGTACATCCGCTTCACAAATGTGGGACAGTTTATTCTTCCGACATATAGGAAAACGTACTGCAAATCACTGCAAAGCACTGCCACAATCATACTTCCTTCATTCATTAACTTTGGGAACTCCTTTGTTAGCCAGATCAAGGGGCTTTTCGTCTCCGCTTTCACTAAATGACTCCTTGCGTGACAGTAGCGATGACATCTGAAGGGCAGCTACGCCACCCATTGTCCATTGACATTATTATAATTATCGAGACCATTTCCATCCTTCATCCTCATTAGTGCACAGAAAGAAAATCACGTTAGGATCATTTAATATTCGCATGGTAAATTTACAAAGGATAGAAAAAGATAGAAATAAGCAAGATGGCGAACATATCAAAGTGATACTCCCCGTAACTAAACAGCATTGAATCTGAATTTTATCAAAATGATCATCATATCTTATCCATTTTTTCAAAAAGGTACTCCCCGTATCTAGATAGAATTTATACTGAATTCCATTAAACTGATTGTCATACCCTATAATTTTTGTTCTCTTTTTTTATCTAGATAGAATTGAAACTCTATTGATCTATATAGAATACTGAATTTAATCAAAATGATCATCGTAACTTATAAATTTTTGTTCCCTGTGTGGAAATACTTGGACTAAGTGGACACTGAGGTGAACGACAATCAAAGGTATCAAAGGTAGGGTACCTGCGGTGGGCACAAGCACTTTGCAAAGGCATCTGTTCCGTTTCCGTATCTGCATCGGCATCGGTGGTATCATTGGTTCCACTGCGGCAAGTGCCCGGGCAACGGTAAGTAGAAATTTGCGTCAATAGGATTGTTAAAGAGGCTTAAGTTAAATGGGAAAACTTCCGAATCAATGAACCGCAAATTGCATGCGAAATGCCAAAACGAAAATGTCGCCGGCCGAGTGTGCGTGGGTGTCCTGCCCAGGATATGTATGGCTGGATGGGTGGTTGGGTGTCTGGTGCGTGCAGGCATGGCTGATGGGTGCGATGGATGGGTAATGGTGTGAGGTAGGAGTCAAGTTAACTGAAAATGAAAACGAAACCGGACTCTGAAGTCGCTGCCAAAATAAACAAGCAAGCCGCGGCGACCAAAATGTATTTATACATATCCATATGTGGCAATCCTTCTGTCCATATGCAAGTCTGGTGGGGGATGGGGCTTCTACTTAGGGTCTTACTCCATAGTTGACCACAAGGACGTGGCAATAAAATATCCTTTGGCCACTTGCCGAAGCGCTTGTAAATGCATCCGTCCGTAAGTGAATCGAGTGGAACACACTGGCAATGCCATGGATGGGACAGCAAAGTATTTCATAAATTCGGTTTGTTGTTTTCTTTCGGCTATGGTCTTAGTCCTCCCATCCTACCAACCTGTCATCCTCACATCCACTTGCCAACCCGCCGAGCTAATGGCAATTTCATTTTCCTCGGCAGATTCAATTTCGCGAGTTGTCCTCGCTGGATCGGTTACGGAGAAAGATTTCTGGACGGGAAGTCTTCTCAGGGAGGTGCAGCTCCAAGGGGAAGCTGGGCCCGACTGCATATACTTGTGCTAATCTGGATGGGGGATACGTGATTCCGTTTGCCAGTGTGTGTGTGTGGGCGGGAGTGGGAGTGGCACTTGAGCAGGCCTGCGACGTTTGTCTGTGTATTATCCTTGGTAATGCATGCAAAGATGCTGCAAAGTAGCTTAATACTTTATGCTCGCAATGAAAAGCCTTTTTACGATCGCATTATGCTTGTACGTACTTATATTTCAGTATAGTTGTGTATATCATGTGTCTATTCGATACGGAAAACACACCCCAACCCCAAGCAGAACTCAAGCCCAAGTCCCATATCTATATCCCTATACCCAGTCGAGAGATGGGTATGGGGGGATGATGTGTTTGTGCGATTGAGGGAGTGCTCGCATTAACTTGTTCAGGGCTTCGCCGGCGGAGTTCGTTTCGTTTTCGCAACTTGTAGCCGTATCGCATTTTACAGCAGGGTGCATGTTAAATGTGCACCAGGGCACCATGTCGTATGAGTGATATCTGCAGTACATAAACTATGCAGTAAATAAGTTTATTATCACCCGGCTTGTATTTCCGCTGGCTGCTTTGGATTCAATATTGGGCCACCCACCACCATTATTCCCTGGTTGGGTACTCAAAAGCTCCATTTTATTTTCCAGTCGCCTTTTTTTTTTGTATTCTTGAGGAATGGGCCCAGTTTTCGGTTGCGTTAGAGGAACTGGTGACTACCGGGCCGGTAGAGGTCGAGTTGGCCAAGTATTTACATGCCCAGTGTAGCTCCACTTCATGGC